TGATGATGATGATGATGATGATAGTGATGATGATGATGATGATGGTGATGATGATGGTGATGATGGTGATGATGAGGGCTTACTGTGATTAAGCACGGATTCAATGTTGAGGACTCTCAAAACCCTTTGTGTGGCATTCACACAACTACCCCGGGGTGGGGGTTGGTGTCATTTGTTTCTTCATTTGACAGGAACAGACACCAGCTTACTGTATGGAGCGGATAGTGTGCAAAGCATCATACTTACAGACTCCAGAAACTTCCCTATACAAAGCCCAATGGAAATGTGAAATGGGTCATGTGTTTCTATCATTGCATCTGCCCCACTACACTGTGAAGCAAATGATGGTTGATTGCAACATTTAACTGAGTTTTCCGCTGTTTGATTGGACAATAGTAATTAATAATAATAATAGAATAATAAAAATGGTTCTTCCCACTGTTACACAGTTAGTGGCAGACATAGACCTGCCTGCCGACAAGTCCTTCTTTATCCCTAGACCACCTTAAGTATCAAACAGAATGGAAACATGCCAGAACAGAAAAACAGTAACTCTGTTTCCCGAGCTATCCTAAAGCAGAGGCTTGAGGTATCTATTAAAATGAACAGAACTCACTAATAGGTATATTAGGAGGAAAAGAAAAAGCTGAAAGCCAAGAATTTCAGTTTGGAAGTACACAGAGTTGGGTCTGAGATATTTCTTGACTGTTTTTTGTGTATAAACAATTTGCCAAATTCTCTGTGTTCCGATCTGGAGAATGGAGTCCTGTGGCAGTAGCGGGCAGGTTGCTGGGAGGATGCTAAAGGTCCCACATTCATTCTCTCACACTGCTCACCACGCCAGCGTGGTTCTCATCAGCACTGGGGACATTGCAGTTAACAATTAAAAATTTGTGCCCTCATAGAATTTACATTCTAGGGAAAATAAGTTACTCAAAGGTCTTATCACAGTGTTGGATGAGTAATGTGGGATTCCCCTCTGTGTGCTGTGAATGTGTTTTATTGCCATTGGTTAATAAAGAAGATACTTTGGCCTATGGCAGGGCAGAATATAGCCAGGCTGGAAAAGATAGATAGAGAGAGTGGGCGGAGTCAGAGAGATGCTATGTAGAAGTCGAAGGAGACAGAGGCTGACAGCGGTTAGCCACAATCTCATGGCGATACACAGAAGCCATTCTCTTGATAAGTCTGCTGTACAGAAGAGATTCACATCCTGTCTCGGGAGATACAGAAGCCTTCAAGTTCACACTGGTTCCTTTCTTCAGGGTCACCAGTTAATTCTCCATTCTCCCAACTGCAGCGGCTGCCTTTATCTCACGCTGGCCGCCTTTTTACCCCTTTCATTTATTTTTGAGATTGTAATTGAATCATAACATTTCCCCTTTCCCTTTCTTCTCTCTAGAGCAGGGGTTCTCAGCCTTCCCAACGCCGCGACCCCTTAACGCAGCTCCTCGTGTGGTGACCCCAACCATACAATTCTCCTTGCTGCTGCTCAGTTGTGATTCTGCTTCTGTTATGAATTATAATTGGAATGTTTTGGGAGACAGAAGTTTGCCAAAGGGGTTGAGACCCACGGGCTGAGAGCCTCTGCTCTAAACCCTCCTCCCATATACCACTTCCCATTGTCTTTAAAATTCATGGACAGTTTTTAAAACTAGTTCTTATTTCATACATATATATATATGTATATGTATATATATGCATATGTATATATATGCATATGTATATGTGTATATATGTATATATATAATTCCTATATAATATAACCATTTAGTCCATCTAATGCTACCTGTATGTATGTTTTTATGGCTGATTATTTGGTATTGGACAACCATTTGATATGCTCTTCCCTCAGAAAGGCCATGTCTCCTATTCCCAGTCTTCCTCAGTTGCCTGTCTCCCAGGCTGCGTGTGATATTTTCATGTGCTACAGAAACCTACCAGTGCGCCAGTCTCCCAGTGACTTTTCCCATCTGAACACCAGCAGGGTGTAGATAGAAGCCTAAATGGGCTTCCTCAGGTTCTCTGTAGCTGGATGCAAATGCCGAGGCTGGCTTTGATTCAGAGCAGAATGTTCAACCATCACATCAACTGGTTCTCATCTCCGTTTTTTTTTTTGTCTAATAAAGTATTTATTGCATTCAGATCACAGCAAGATTAATTAATCTTGAAGCTGCTTTATGTTTCAATTATCTGGTACTTTAATCTGAACGGGAAGGTGTATTTATTACAGAACACAATGTTTAAAATTTCTCTTTGAATACAAGTCAAGAAAAAAAATTCCCAGATTGGATGAAAAAAAATTTTAAGCTTATTTTCAGATTGTTTTGTTTTTTGTTTTTGTTTGTTTGATTTTGCACAGAACAGAGAATTAAAAATCAAACCTAAAATCAGTCATGAATGGGTGAAGGGCTAACAGGGCCCTACCCTTCCCTCCCCAACTATTAGCGATACTGAGGGACTCTGGGAGAGCGGGAGTCGTTGTCTCCAGGTGTCCATTCACTGATGGGCTGACCACGCTTCAGTGGATAACGCCAAACCCATGTTCAGAAGGGCATCCTGTTTAAACTCAGCAGGTCATAAAAACAAATCAAACAAGAATGTGAGAAAGAGCTTTATAGAGAAGCAGGGAGGTAGATAGGGTGACGGTGAGAGTTGTCAGTACATAATATATACCGGGATGAGATTGTCAGAGAACAGGGCGGGGCTTGGCAAGATGGCTCAGTAGGTAAGAGGGTTTGATGCTCTTCCAGAGCGCCTGGGCTCTGTTCCCATCAATCACGTCAGATGCCCTATAATCATGTAACTCCAGCTCCAGGGGATCCGATGCCTTCCTCTGGCCTCTACGGGTGTCTGTGCTCATGTGCAAACACATGAGGAGCACACACATGAGGAGCACACACATGCACACGTACACATAACTAGAAATAAAATCACTGCACTGTTTTTTAAAGAAACTGTCAAAGGACAAATTTAATATACAAAAGGTACTCCACAAAAGAAAAGAAAGCAGAAGCATGACTAAGCAAAATCCACAGTCCTTTGCTCTGTTTTCAGTAGCTGAAACTGGCAAATAGACATGAGTGCCTGAATGATTCCTATCGGCCAGACGCTTGGCTAACAAAGGGGAGACAGTGGTCAACAGGGCAGGTGGCTGCCTAGACTTTCCATCCATGCGTGTTGCTAGACGGGGTGTATGCCCGTGATTCCAGGTTCTCAGGAGGCTGAGGCAAGATAGCTTAAGTCTGTGAGTTTGAGACACTATATCTAAATAAATAAAATAAACAACAAAATGTTCACCTTTTTGAACTGAGGCCATATTGGTAGGTAAGGTTCTGTTCACGAGGGTCTGGTTGTTTGCATTGAAACGGATACAGTCTAAGCCTTAGGACTTTGGTTTTGGAGTTCCAGTTCTGCTGGGCACATTTTCTATAATTCTCACCACCATGGATGCATCACTGATTAGCATGGACAGTTCCGCTTTGGGCAGGGACAGCCTGGCAATGTCCAGCCAGGCCTTTCTGGTAGAATTTCCATTAAACATATCCTAGAGAAGATCAAACTGATCAATGAGCCATGGGGATAGTCACGCATTTCCCAAAGGGTATTAGGAATTCTGTTCTCAACTCTGATACTGGGGTTCTGGCTTTACCATAGGTTTTAATGTCAACCACCTGGACATTGCTCCACGCTATGCCAGCATTCTCATGGGGATTTCGAATGGAGTGGGAACCCTGTCTGGAATGGTTTGCCCCCTCATTGTCGGAGCCATGACCAAGCACAAGGTAATGATCTGCTCTGTGGCTGTGGGCTACACTATCAGGGTAGAAGCACTGCCCAAACTTGAGATCTCAGTGACCTTCTCCAGAGTGGAAGTGTTTGGCCTTGTCCTTGGAACCCGAGATCTTGTGACTTACCCTGGTGTGTATGTGTGTCCTTGTCCTTGAAATCTGAGATCTCGTGACTTATCCTGACGTGTAAGTGAGTGGCCTTGTCCTTGAAGCCTGAGATCTTGTGACTTGCCCTGGTGTGTAAGTGTGACTTACCCCAGTGTGTGAGTGTGTGGCCTTGTCCTTGACTGAGTCTTAGACAACTGCCCCTTCTCTTGTTTCTTCTTCCTCCTCCCTTTCCTTCCCTTCTTCAGCTTTATTCTTTATTGATGGCACCAGAACTAATGGTAATCTAGTTCTACACCTTCTCAGCTGAGAGGCTGTAGAGATTGTTTAGAGATACAAAGAAACTCAGGCAGCCAACCCAATGAACATTTTATTTAAGATTGTTTTATGATTTTAAGGGCTAGAACTGGACAGCCCATTTCCACCCATTATTTAGACTGTCCCACATAAAGTAGCAGTGTAGTGTGCCTCCTTGTTTAGGAGAAAATAAACGAGGCATTAGTGACCTTTCTTAAGACCCACCTTGGCCAGGCTTGAGGCAAGGAGAGGAGCTTGTTCCTGCCTCAACTTGACACACCATGGTTTGTTCTAGCCCCTGGGAGGCCTGCCGTTCTGAATGGAGGTGAGGAGGAGTGGGGAGGGGGCAGGAGGAGAGGAGGGAGGGGAAACTGCAGTCAGTATGTAAAATAAGTGAAAAAATGTTATTTAAAACATAAAAAAGGACCCACAAGATGAGGCTCAGAGTGCTTGCTGCTCTTTGAGAGGCCCAGGGTTCTGTCTCCTGCTCCCATACAGCTCACAATCATTGGTAGCCCCTGGATGACATCCAGATCCCCTGGAGCTGGTGTTACAGATGGTTGTGAGCTACCCGTGGGTGCTGGGAATTGGTCCTCTACAAGAACGTCCAAGGCACTTAGCCACTATAGCCTCTTCTGCTCTCCTTGGGTGCCAGGCGCACCTGTGTTGCACAGACACAACCCCCATAAACACAGTATACAAACCCCTGAACCTTCCAGGATGTGGCACTTAGCTTTTCCTGGACCTTTGTGGCTTTTAAACTTATTTTATCTTTAAAATTGTATTTATGTTTGTTCTATGTGGGTGAATGTTTTGCCTGCTTTTGTATATGCATACCACGTATACATCATGGAAGCCAGTGAGGGGCATCGGATGCCCTGGAGCTGGAGTTTAAGATCCTTATGAGCTGCCATGTGAGTGCTAGGAACAGAACCTGGGGCTTCTGTAAGGACATTCAGGGCACTTAACCCCCACTGAATCATCTCCTCAAGCACATGTGCCCTGTATTTTTTACATATTTATTTTGATATGTAGTTTATATTAAAGTGGCATTCTTGGTCGTCTTTCATTTTCAAGTACTCAAATTAAGTATAGATTCTGGATGTTGAGTCTATCATGTGTCTACCCAGAAGCCCAATGTAGCCTTTGGAATGTTTTTATCCCAGTGGAGGAATTTCGGACTCTCTGTCAACCTCTGTTTTTGCTTAAAACAGTAACCGGATATTTCCTTTGTTAGACCCGCGAGGAGTGGCAGAATGTATTCCTCATAGCCGCCCTGGTCCACTACAGCGGTGTCATCTTCTACGGGGTCTTCGCTTCTGGGGAGAAACAGGACTGGGCTGACCCAGAGAGTCTCTCGGAGGAGAAATGTGGAATCATTGACCAAGACGAATTAGCCGAGGAGACAGAACTCAACCACGAGGCTATCGCTAGTCCCAGAAAGAAGACGTCTTATGGCGCCACCACTCAGAATTGTGAGGTCCAGAGGAGCGGCTGGAGACAGCAGAGAGAAGCTGCCTTCGATGCCTTCGAGGGGGAAGAGGCATTGTCCTACCAGAACGAAGAAGGAAACTTCGCAGAAACATCTTAACGCCCACCTTCTCTTCAGCTTACAACCGGAAATAACCCATTCCCATTGCCTTTCCCATACCTCGGCTTGCCAGGGGGCCAAATCATGGGGCACTGGAGGTAGCAGGAGGAGGAGATTAAGTCAACAGCAGAGAACAGAGAAATACCTTCTTCCAGAGATAGGGACGTAACTATTGCTCTCAGCTGATAAAACAACTGGTCGTATTATTTTTTGCAGGGTTGGGTGACTGAGGCAGATGTTGGCTGTTGTGCCTTCTCTCAAAGAACTAGTTACTCAGAAAGAAACGACTAGAAGGCCAAGGAGTAGTTTGCTGCTCAAATAAACATTGAGATAAATCCCTCTTAAGCCTAGAGAAGAGTACATGGTGGGTGTCACCCCATCTCCTGAGATACCCGTACAGGGGAAAGTTTCCTAAACCCGATGAGGGGAACCACTCCCGGAGGCCCTCTGTTGTGCCAGGTGCTTTATGGACATACTTATTTGACCCCCCCATCCTATTACATATGCTATCACACCCATTTTACAGCTAGGGACACTGAAGGGACAGAATGACCCACCCAAGGCCATCTTCTTGGGGCCAAGACTGACACTGGCAGATGACAGGGAGATTTAGGAAGAGGGGTCCAGCTCGGTGTGGGGACCCCCCCCCCCCCCCCCCCCCCCCCGGCGCCGCCCCCGCGTCACAAACC